GTTAAAGCACTGAGCTGCTGAGCTTGTTGACTGAAAGGTTGCAGGTTTGATTCCGGGGAGCGGCGTGAGCTTCCACTGTCAGCCCTAGCTTCAGCCAACCTAACAGTTTGAAAACATGCAAATGTGAGTAGATAGATAGGTACCGCTCCGGTGGGAAGGTAACGGCGCTCCATGCAGTCATGCTGGCCACATGACCTTGGAGGTGTCTATGGACAACGCCGGCTCTTCGGCTTAGAAATTGAGATGAGCATCACACCCCAGAGTCAGACATGACTGGACTTAATGTCAGGGGACAACCTTTACCTTTTATTCTATACCAAACGTGACAAATGTGTCCAGAGGAAGGCGACTAAAATGATCAAGGGTCTGGAGAACAAGCCCTATGAGGAGCGGCTTAAAGAGCTGGGCATGTTTAACCTGAAGAAGAGAAGGCTGAGAGGAGACATGATAGCCATGTATAAATATGTGAGAGGAAGCCACAGGGAGGAGGGAGTAAGCTTGTTTTCTGCTTCCTTGGAGACTAGGACGCGGAACAATGGCTTCAAACTACAAGAAAGGAGATCCCATCTGAACATTAGGAAGAACTTCCTGACTGTGAGAGCCGTTCAGCAGTGGAACTCTCTGCGCTGGAGTGTATTGGAGGCTCCTTCTTTGGAGGCGTTTAAACAGAGTCTGAATTGCCATCTCTCAGGCGTGCCTTCAATGTGATTTTCCTGCTTCTTGGCAGGGGGTTGGACTGGATGGCCCACGAGGTCTTTTCCAACTCTATGATTCTGTGTGAACTGATCCAGTTGACAATACATTGAGTTGAATCCAGTGACATAAAACAGCTAATTAAAGCCAATTACATTCTGTATTAAATATGCCAGCAAGAAGGGAGACACAGGATTTACTTTTTAATTAGAGTGATCGCTTTCAGATAGCATTTCTGCATAAATGGTCCTTCACAATTAAGGTATCCGTTAATTAAATGGGACATTTCCCTAAGGAATTAAACGGGACATTTCCCTAAGGAATCTGCATGCTTTTAGTTACTTATTAGTACTTTACTCAAAGTCACGCCTTTGAACTTTTGCAAAGCTATTGTTTGCTTTTAGTTAGCCCTTCAATATGACATAGTGCAGATCACATGGAGCTCCCGGTGGTGCAGTGGGTTAAACCGCTGAACTGTTGAGCTTGTTGACGAAAAGGTCACAGGTTTGAATCTGGGGAGTGGTGTGAGCTTCCGTTGTCAGCCCCAGCTTCTATAAGTTCGAAAACATGCAAATGTGAGTAGATCAATAGGTACCGCTCCGGTGGGAAGTTAACGGCGCTCCATGCAGCCATGCTGACCACATGACCTTGGCGGTGTCTATGGACAACGCCAGCTCTTCGGCTTAGAAATGGCGATGAGCACCACACCCCAGAATCAGACACGACTGGACTTAATATCAGGGGAAAACCTTTATTTTACTTAGATCACAGGACTGTAACCATGACTCAAAAATAGGGATGGGGCTAAGATACCATTGCAGTTAACAGATTACTATACAAATAATAAAGAAACCAAAATAAAGTGTTTCGCAGGGACTTCTATGATCGAATTTCAAGTCTCCTCAGAGACATGAAACTTACTCGGTAACTTTGGGCCACCCACTCCCTTTCCGTTGTGAGGATACATGGAATTCATGCCTACTGCCTTGAGCTAATTGGTGCAAATAACACTATATATCATGATTTTTGTTCCTGGGTTATAATGTCATTTCTTAACTGGTTCTATCATTAAAAATGGAAAAAAAAATTATACTGCAAAAATGTATGTTTTTGGTGGGACATCCTTTAGCACATTTTGCTCTAGTTTTTCAATGAATATCTCATAGAGTCTCAAACAATTTAACATGGTTTGTGGCAGCCACAAAAATGAAGTTTCTGGAGTATAACAACTACTTTCAAAGTAAGTACCTCACAATTCAACAGCAAATATCATTTTCAAACCAGGAACTGATTTTTTTAAAAAAAATTGTACATAGTTTAATTACTGTATATACTCAAGTATAGGCCTAGTTTTTCAACCCTTGTTTTAGGCTGTATACTCGAGGTTATTTATTATTATACTCTGTCATTATTATTATTATTATTATTATTGCATTTATTATTTTACTCTATTTATTATTATAGTTATCATTTTACTTTATTATTACATTTATTATTTTATTTTATCAGTGTTATTAAATTTATTATTTTATTCTATGATTGTTACTCCATTTATTATTTCACTCTATTATTATTCCATTTATTAGTTTACTGTCTTTATTATTGTTGGAAGGATATGTAAGCACATTTACATTGAAGAAGGTTAGGGCAGTCTTATCTTAAATTACAATTTTATATAAATATTCAAAAACATTTAACTTATTGATGCCTCAATTAGATGCCTCAATTAATGTAATTTTATTGGTATCTATCTTCATTTTGAAATGTACCAGTAGCTTCTGAATTTCTCACCCTCGGCTTATACTTGAGTCAATCCGTTTTCCCAGTTTTTGTGGTAAAATTAAGTGACTTGGCTTATATTCGGGTCGGCTTATACTCGAGTATATACGGTAGTATTTTTCTCTGAAGATGTATTTTTTTCCCAACAGAAATAATTTAGAAAAGATTTCAGTGCAGTCACTCTGTCCAATTTAGGTTTCGAAATACTAAAAATCCATGGAGATATGTGCTCTTGTACATGCAATCAACCTTACACAGTTGTTGGTTTGACATTGGCATATTTGATTAATATGGTCTCTGTAGGAAGCAATAAGAAAAGCTTGGGTGGGGTGGTGATCTTTGCTTATAAATGGATCAACTTATTCAGAACTTTTTTCCATTGAGTTTTTTTTTCTGTGTCAGGAGCTGCTTGAGAAATTGCAAGTTGTTTCTGGTGTGAGAGAATTAGCTGTCTGCAAGGACATTGCCCAGGGGACGCCCAGATGTTTTAGATCAGTGATTCTCAACCTGGGGTCCCCAGATGTTTTTGGCCTACAACTCCCAGAAATCCTAACAGCTGGTAAACTGGCTGGGATTTCTGGGAGTTGTAGGCCAAAAACATCTGGGGACCCCAGGTTGAGAACCACTGTTTTAGATGTTTTACCATCCATGTGGTAGGCTTTTCTCATGTCCCCGCGTGGGGAGCTGGATCTGACAGAGGGAGCTCATCTGTGCTCTCCCTGGATTCCAACCTCTGACCTGTTGGTTTAACCCATTGCACCACCAGAGGCTGCTTTGTGTGAAATAAATAGAAAGTAAATCCTGCTCAGCTGGGCTGGATCCAGCCTATTGTGTCTTAGTTCTTCATTGGCTCCCTCTCACACAAGTTACCTCTTGACTATATTGTTCACAGGAAAGGAACACAAATTTCAACTTAGATATCCGTGTCCCATAGAATCATAGAATCTAAGAGTTGGAAGAGACCTCATGGGCCATCCAGTCCAACCCCCTGCCAAGAAGCAGGAACATCGCATTCAAATAACCCCCAACAGATGGCCATCCAGCCTCTGTTTAAAAGCTTCCAAAGAAGGAGCCTCCACCACACTCTGGGGCAGAGAGTTCCACTGCTGAACGGAATTAGTCCAGGACCTGTCAACTATGTTTCCCCAAGGAAGCATCTCTTCACGCACATGCATGTCCTCATGTCCTCATGTTGTGCCTTTTTTCAAGTGTTTATATGTTTTCCTGCTAATCTATATAAATAAAAATGTAACGTTCGTTTGTGGGATTAACATAATTGAAAAACCACTGGGTGAATTGACACCAAGTTTGGACACAAGACACCTATCAGGCCAACGAGTGACCATCACTCATAAAAACACACAACTCCCCCCCCAGCAGAATGGACTTTAACGCCTCCCCCAAATAAACTATATATACATATACACATACATTCATATACATATACATATGCACACATACATACACACACACAAATATACACATATACACACCTACATATACATACACATATGCATATACACAATATACATATACACATATAAACACAGAAATATGCATATACACATGCATGCACACATACATACAGACACACATATACACATACATATACACATATATGCATATACACAAGCACACACATATACACAATATATATATATATATATACACACACTTATAAACACAGAAATATACAAATATACATACAAATATACACATACACACACATACATATACACCTACACGCATATACACAAACATACACACATACATGCATATACACAAGCACACATATATACACACACACATATATATATACAAACCAACACACATATATACACATATACACAAATATATACACACACAAAACACATATACACAGACTGTGCCGCACTAACACATGGCAGGGAACAGCTAGTAAATAAAAAAAATACTTACGCCATTTGTTGTGCATTTTAATCACATTAGGCATAGTTCTGACTGTGAGGTAACATGGAAATGAGCCCCACAAGTGTCACTCTTCGCTCCATGTTTACTTTATGTATGTGTCCTGAGGATCCCGTGTTGGTTCAGTCAGTATAAATCACGGAAATGGTACTGATTTTCATGCCATTTGGATCATAACACCTGTATTCTTTATAAACATTTCCTAGTGCTTCTTACATATATGCTATGTCTTTTTTTGGCTAAGTCTTTCTTCTTTTTGTTTGTTTATTTGTACACATCTATCCACTTGCACATTGTGTGTTACGGTATGGGGTCACACAGCCTTGTTTTCCTGGGATCCTCTTACCTGCTTGCTTCCAGGGGATCTGTTTGGTTTCTTCCTTCTCCTTCCATCTTGACAGCCCCAAGCATCATGGGCTCGCATGTATCTCACTTGCATGCTTACCCAACCTCTTCCTCCACCTCCTCCACCACCTCCACCTCCTCCTCCACCACCTCCTCCTCCTCTATCGCCTCGTTGCACCTCCCTGGGAATTCTGAATAGTAGGGCAATGTGACATGGGACCCCTCTCATCTCCCAGAATGGGAAGCTGTCCAAGAACAAGCGGAAGAAGCTGAAGAGGAAGCAGAAAAGGCAGAGCCAGCTCCTGGCCGAACGGCTTCGGGACCTTCAGCAGTTGGAGGAATTGTCCGTTGCAGCCGCAGGAGACGCCAGTGGATCTGCCCTGACGCCAGGTGAGTTTGAAAGTAGAGAATTGCCTGCAAGCATAACACAACCCCATCACCATAGGTGATATCTCATTGCCGGGGATGGTAGTCCTTCAAGGGTAGGATCTTGGCGCTGGGTCCGTAAGTGACGTTAGAGACTTATTCTGGATAACACAACCCAATGTTACCCTCAGCATCCTGTTTGTACATCTCTCTTGGTGGCATTATGTATAGCTAAAAACTCTAGACCTGTATAATTTCCCTCGCCGCTTTATGTTGGTATCCATAGGTTTACATAGCTTGTTTACATGGCCTGTTGTTTGTTTCTACTAATGCCATGCTCCATTGCAAGCTTGGCTTTCAAGGCTTGATCATATGTCATTGTACGGCACAGGTTATTGATTTAGTCAGCCTGTCCTTGTTGTGTAGCTTTGCATTTCTATGAGCAGCTGTTTCTGGGTAAATTTGTTGAATGCCATGGGCTCGTCTACAGTGGGCAGTTAATTAATGTATTAATTTATTTGCGGCATTTGTAGCCTGCCTTTCTCAGTCTTGTGGTGACTCAAGGCAGCTCACAGAATTAGCAATTTTAGTGCCATCTATATAAATAAAAATGTAATGTCCGTTTGTGGGATTAGCATAACTCAAAAACCACTAGGCGAATTGACACCAAATTTGGACACAATATACCTATCAGGCCAACAAGTGACCATCACTCATAAAAACACTGCAAAACAGAACAGAAGACACTTTAAAAACAAAAAAAAATACAACGCATGCATAAAACCACACATATACGCAAACACACATATACACATATGCACAAATATATACACACACAAAGCACATATGCGCAGACTGGACCACAGCGATGTGTGGCAGGGGACAGCTAGTATTTTCATAAAAATACATTTAAAAACATTCAACTCAATATTAGAAAAGCATATATAAACCATTTAAAAACATATGATTAGCCTTATGCAGATCTGGCCCACAGCAGTCTCAAATCCAGCATGTATATGTTAAATCCGAGGCTGTTGTTCAGATGGGCCGGCACCGCATTGGCCCTGCTGGGCTATCACGTCCACTCTTAGCAAACCACAGAGCTCATTGCAAGTGCCTGGCCATTGCTAGTTGTATCTTTGATGTCAGAACAGCATGCCTGTGAGGTCAGCAAGAAGAGTGAACATCCCTTCCTTCCTGATCATCTGAGTGCCCCAATATGACATAGGCACATTGCACGATGGCCAGGTGCTTGCATGGAGCTCCATGGTTGGTTAGGATTGGCAACAGAAGCATTCTTGTATACGCTTCTCCTTGACTTACGTCAAGGGGGCTTTTTGAGCCCCATCCTGCAATGTGAGGTTGTGCAACTGGTGGACACAAGCCAACCCCCTCAATGAGAACTAGGGTCACAGTAATGACTAACTAGTATGTTTTGTAAATACTGTTTGGGCCTCCATTTCCCAGAAGCCTTGGCCAGCTTGTTTAATGGTCAGGAGTTCTGGGAGTTGAAGACCGAAACTTAGAGCAGGTATCCTCTAACTGTTGCTCTCCAGCTGATTGGGCCTCCAGTTCCCAGAAGCTCTGGCCAGCTTGTTTAATGGTCAGGAGTTCTGGGAGTTGAAGACCCAAACTTAGAGCAGGTCTCCTCCAACTGTAGCCCTCCAGCTGTTTGGGCCTCGAGTTCCCAGAAACTCTGGCCAGCTTGTTTAATGGTCAGGAGTTCCAGGAGTTGGAGACCCAAACTTAGAGCTGGTCTCCTCCAACTGTGGCCCTCCAGCTGTTTGGGCCTCCAATTCCCAGAAGCCCCAGCCAGCTTGTTTAATGGTCAGGAGTTCTGGGAGTTGGAGGCCCAAACAGCTGGAGGGTCCACAGTTTGAGGATGCCTAAGCGTTTCCTAGAGAGAAAATCTCTAGTTCATCCAATGCGATTGTGTTGGCATCTTTCAGCAGAAGCAGAACATAGAGTCGTGCAGGAGAATCTAGAGATTCCTTGAGAGGTATGTTTTCTCAGATTAAAAAGTGGTTAATTAATTTACAATTTTCACTGTGATTGAGTCTGTGTGCCCTAACCACAGCAAATGTGGAGAGCGGACTGTATAACTAGGTTTATATTTTTCTATATTTTTAATTTTCTAATCATGGAGTAGGTTTGCCTGTTTGATAGTCAGGTCTTGCTTCTTTTCCTTGGATGACAAATCTGTTCTCTAAAGCATGTAACTAATGCAGCTGTGGGTTGCTGTGAGTTTTTCGGGCTATATGGTCATATTCCAGCAGCCTTCTCTCCTAATGTTTCGCCTGCATCTGTGGCAGACAACTTCAAAGGATCCATCTTGACCAATTCCATGTTTACATACACAAGGTTAATAAACGATGGGATATCCTTTTCTTTCTTTCTCCTCTAGAATTACAGGGTGGGACCCCCATCTCTGTCTCCACAGCTGGAGGAACAGAGGCCTTGGGGGGCTCTCTAGCTTGCAGCCCCCAGAGCTTGACCTCTTCCTCTGGCTTCTACACGCACAATGCCTACGACAGCTGCAATGGACATTCTCCCCCAGGCACTGCCAGCCGCCACTTCAGTCCAGAATCGGCCACCTCCGGCTTCTCAGGGTCCCTCTTCTCCGGCTCAGCCATGTCCAGTGCCTCTAACCAGCGGGAGCGTGGAGGCCTTCTTTCCCCCAGCAGTGAGTATCTTTTTCTAGACCTATGATCCTGGCTGGGCAAATTATCTAGTCTCAAGTAGTGGCCATTTATTGTGGTACCTCCAACCCAAAAAAACGGATATGATAGCAGAAATAAAACTGGAGGTAGGTTTCACTCTCGCAGCCCATAAATTTAATTTTAGTGTTTAAAGCAGGCATGGGCAGACTTTGACCCTCCAGGTGTCTTGGACTTCAACTCCCACAATTCCTAACAGCTGGTAAGCCGGCTGGGATTTCTGGGAGTTGAAGTCCAAAACTGCTGGAGGACCAAAGTTTGCCCATGCCTGGTTTAAAGTCATCCATATTTCAACAAGAACAGCATGAGATGCGTTGTCTTTTGCTCCTTGGTATGTTGAAAGTGGTTTTTGGAAAGTGGCATCTGAAAGGTTTAATGCAGTGTTTCTCAACCTTCCTAATGCCGCGATCCCTTGATACAGTTCCTCATGTTGTGGTGACCCTAACCATAACATTATTTGAACTGCTATTTCATAATTGTCATTTTGCTACTGTAACGAATCGTCAATATCTGATATGTGGGATATATTTTCATTCACTGGACCAGATTTGACACAAATACCCGATATGCCCAAATGTGAACACTGGTGGGGTTGTGGGGGGATTGATTTTGCCATTTGGGAGTTGTATTTACTGGGATTTATAGTTCTCATACAATCAAAGAGCTTTCTGAACTCCACCAATGAGGGAATTGAACCAAACCTGACACACAGAACTCCCATGATCAACGGAAAATACTGGAAGGGTCTGGTGGGCATTGACCTTGAATTTGGGGGTTGTAGTTCTACATCCAGAGAGCTCTCGTTACTCAAACAATGATGGATCTGGACCAAACTTGGCATGGATATTCAATATGTCCAAATGGGAACACTGGTGGAGTTTGGGGAAAATAGACCTCAATATTTGGGAGTTGTAGTTGCTAGGATTTATATTTCATCTACAATCAAATAGCATTCTGAACTCCATCAACAATAGAATTGGGCCAAACTTCCCACACAAAATCCCATGACTAACAGAAAATACTGTGTTTCCTGATGATCTTTGGCGACCCCTGTGACACCTCCTCATAGCCCCCACAGGGGTCCCAACCCTCAGGTTGAGAAACACTGGCTTAATGGGATTACCCATCCCCATTGCATTAGACACCAAGCAGAAAGGATGAGTGCTTTGAGCTGTCAGGAGAACTTATATTGTCAGATTTGTGTGGGTCATGATTCTCTAACACACCTTAGCACAGTGGTTCTCAACCTGGGGGTCGGAGCCCCGAGAGGGGTTGCGGGGGGGTGTCAGAGGGGTCGCCAAAGACCATCAGAAAACGCAGTATTTTCTGTTGGTCATGGGGGTTCTGTGTGGGAAGTCTGGCCCAATTCTATCGTTGGTGAGGTTCAGAATATTATTTGATTGTAGGTGAACTATACGTCCCAGCAACTACAACACCCAAATGTCAAGATCTATTCCCCCCAAACTCTACTAGTGTTTACATTTGGGCACATTGAGTATTTGTGCCAAGTTTGGTCCAGATGCGTCATTATTTGAGTCCACAGTGCTCTCAGGATGTAGGTGAACTACAACTCCAAAACTCAAGGTCAGTGCCCACCAAACCCTTTAGTATTTTCTGTTCGTCATGGGAGTTCTGTGTGCCAAGTTTGGTTCAATTCCATCACTGGTGAATTTCAGAATGCTCTTTGATTATAGGTGAACTGTAAATCCCAGCAACTACAAATCCCAAATGACAAAATCAATCCCCCCCCAACCCCACCAGTATTCAAATTTGGGCATATCGGGTATTTGTGCCAAATTTGGTCCAGTGAATGAAAATACATCCTGCATATCAGATATTCATATGACAATACATAACAGTTGCAAAATTACAGTTATGAAGTAGCAATGGAAATAATTTTATGGTTGGGGGTCAACACAACATGAGGAACTGTATTAAGGGGTCGTGGCATTAGGAAGGTTGAGAACCACTGCCTTAGCAGCATATCCTGGGCTCAGTAATTTCACCACTGTATGGTGTCCTAACGAATTATCTCCCGTGGTTCTTCCCACCTCAAGTGTTATTCCTACTATCACCTTTATGGAGCTTAAACCTTCTATCTTCTCCATCTCACTTTTCTCCTTTCCAACAGTGAGATAAATAGATCCTGTATATGCACAGTAATATTTGTATTTTGTTTATGGGATTTCCCACTCCGCTGGAGGTGTTTTTGCTGGATACCTGCCCAACTACATCTGAAACATTTTGCAGGTCTTTCTGTTTAGAAAGTGGATACTAAGTGTGTGTGTTTGGCTTACAATTCCAAACAAAGACTTGATTATCTCAACAGCTTTTGGTACCTCTGAATTCCTGGTGAACCCCCTGGAACCCCAGAATGCAGACCTGATCCGAGTAAAGATAGCAGATCTAGGCAATGCCTGTTGGGTGGTAAGCATGTTACAGAGAACTTCCCACAATAGTAGTCTTGGTGGGGCTGTCAGAGGTTGTGGGGATGAAAATGGTTGTATTAATGGTTAAGCTGAGTACCCAGGATGGCGGTCCCTCCAGGTTGCGAGTGGTGCTGTTCAATGCCAGGTCAGTGAATAGAAAAACATCTATTATTCAGGATCTAATCCTTGAAGAACATGCTGACTTGGCTTGTATAATGGACTGGATTGACCTTGAAGGAGCTGGGGGTGGTGACGGCTGACAGGGAGCTCTGACGTGGGATGGTCCATGAGGTCACGAAGAGTCGGATGAACAACAACAACAACAACAGCCATGTGTAGCCAAAAGGGAGCAGTACTTCATTTTGGAAATTAAGTAGGACAATTAGTAAGCATTGAATACCAGCTCTGAATTAGTTGTCTTATTGGGAGAGGAATGTGGTTGGCTCACTAGGTTGTTATTTGAAGAGGTTGCCTATTCATGGATGCTGTATTGTGGAGAGTGCTAGATGTGGACTATTTCCCCCATTTATTATGATTTCTGTGGAGCCCCTGGTGGCACAGTGGGTTAAACCCTTGTGCCAGCAGGACTGGAGACCGACAGATCGCAAGTTCAAATTCGGGGAGAGCGCGGATGAGCTCCCTCTGTCAGCGCCAGCTCCTCATGTGGGGACATGAGAGAAGCCTCCCACAAGGATGAGAAAACATCAAAAACGTCCAGGCGTCCCCTGGGCAACTCTCTCACACCAGATGCGACTTGCAGTTTCTCAAGTCGCTCCAGACACGACAACAAATTATGATTTTTGTAAATATTATGATTTGACCATGAGAGCTGTTCAGCAGTGGAACTCTCTGCCCCGGAGTGTGGTGGAGGCTCCTTCTTTGGAGGCTTTTAAGCAGAGGCTTAGATGGCCATCTGTTTGGGGTGCTATGAATGCGATTTTCCTGCTTCTTGGCAGAGGGTTGGACTGGATGGCCCATGAGGTCTCTTCATAGAATCATAGAGTTGGAAGAGACCTCATGGGCCATCCAGTGCAACCCCCTGCCAAGAAGCAGGCCAATCGCGTTCAAGCACTCCTGACAGATGGCCATCCAGCCTCTGTTTAAAAGCCTCCAGTTCTCTTCCAACTCTATGATTGTATGATTCTGCTTGTGGAATATTTACCTTGTTCATAATTTCCTCAGCACAAACATTTTACAGAGGACATTCAGACACGCCAGTATCGGGCACTGGAGGTCCTAATTGGTGCCGCCTACAACACTCCGGCCGATATCTGGAGCACAGCATGCATGGTATGTTCCCAGTTCCTTCCTAATTGTTGTTCCTTACCCTTTATGCCATGTTCTGGTTGCTTATTTCATTACTTTAGTTTTAGGTTATTAAAACATACCTACAAATGGCTGCAAGATTTACCTGTAGCTGCTGTATTTCTCACCCATGGCTTATACTCCAGTCAATACGTTTTCCCAGTTTTTATGATAAAATTGGGTGCCTCAGCCTGTATTCGGGTCGGCTTATACTCAAGTATATATGGTAAATTGCCACGGAGCAGTCTCCAGACTTGGTTTCTGAAGGCAAGATGAATATGAAACTGTATGGGCAGAGCATAGGATTATTTCCATTTGTTACAAGGGTTGAGTGAAAAGTAATGCCTCCACCTTCATAACTCCTCAACAGATGGCAGTACTGGTATGCGGCAGGTACTGGCTTGTTCAGTAGACTCTCCTCTACAGTTCCATTTTGGCAGGAAGCCTTAGCATTGAATGGTTGTGTTGTTAAAGTGCAAAGGATGGAACCCTGCGCAGACAGTCGGTGAATGAGACTTAAGCAATGTGCAGTCATTGAATTCTTGACTGCAGAAGGTGTCACCTCAACATCTTTAAACTTACTTGCCCAATGACGCGCAGTACTCACATCAGCACAATTGACATAAACAGCTTGCATTCTCTGATGAATCTCCTTTTGGATGACACCTTCTGCTGTCAAGAATTCAATGACTGCACGTTGCTTAAGTCGCATTGACCGACTATCTGCACAGGGTTCCATACTTCACACTTTTTTTTGAAATAATTTTTATTAAAGGTTAATATAATTACATGGAAAGTGGGGGAATATTCAAAAGAAGATAGGAAAGTAGGAAATGAAAAGGAAGAACAAAAAAAAAGCGGGGGAGGGTGTTGACTTCCATACCATCTTCATGGTTTCTTCTCATCTTTATAGTCCTTTTCTGTTCACCCTTTATTTGTTCTATTATTGTCATAGTCCCGAAAGAGATCCCAATTAGTCCTTTTTAGTGTCTTCCTGGTATTTTTCCTTAATAAAAAAAGTTAATTCGTCCATATCTTTTATTTCTCTCACCTTGTCCAGCCAGTCATCAAGGACTGGAGTTTGTTCCTGTTTCCACATTTCTGCAAAAATAATTCTTGCCACCATTGTAATAAAAGTAAAAATTTTGTCCTCATTTTCATTAAGCTGTAACTCCGAATCTGTAAAGCCTAACAAATAGTACTCGGGTTTCTTTTTGAAAGTCCTCTTTAAAAAATGTTGTGTCTCCTCGTAGATTCATGTCCAATACTTCGAGGTTACCTTACAAATCCACCACATACGGAAAAATGTGCCCACCTGATCACAGCCTTTCCAACATTTATCCGAAATATTTGGTACATATGGCCTAATTGCTTGGGAGTGGAACATTTTAATCCAATTTTCTTTTAAATGCTAAGGCTTCCCGCCAAAATGTAACTGCAGAGGAGAGTCTACTGAACAAGCCAGTACCTGCCGCATACCAGTACTGCCATTTGTTGAGGAGTTATGAAGGTGGAGGCATTGCTTTTCATTCAACCCTCGTATATACTTGATTTATCAGCTTCTTTGCATCACTGTTCTGGAGAAAAGCAAGATGCAAATGAATTTAAATTCACAAGATGTGACATAATTCAGCTAATCTAAGTGCTTCTATTTTATTCCACTCCTTATCCAAGCAAAGAAGTTGTTGAACTTGCGCGAAGTCTGAAAAACATTTGGTTCTTAGCCGTAAAGACCACATAAAACTTTCAGACTCGGGAACAATTGAATACCAATTACCGGAAAGCTACACCAAGCAAGATTTATTGCCTTCCTGTTGGGCAGGCAGTGGGTTGGCCATTGGAAAAAACAGGATACTGAATTCAATCAAACTTTGGCCTGTTCCAGTGTTTTGTTGTTTATTCTGGGATACAAAAAGATGTTTCAAGGGAGAAAAGTCTCCTGAACATAGCAGTGAACTTTACAGAGGGACTTGGAAAAACAACAAGTTCATCTCAAACTGCCAATCCCAGGGTTCAGTAGGGAAGAACCATGGTAGTTGAGATGTGTACATGGAAAGGACACAACAAGATTGATCATCATCAGATGTGTCTTAAGTTCTTGGTCCTAGTCTCACTACTCAGTACATTTTGAACATAACAATGATTCTGGGGTTTTGAAATGTTAAAGGTGGTGTCTCCTTCCTACAAGAATGTGGTGTGCATATGTGTGCCTTCAGGTTGCCTGTTGACTTATGACAACCCCATGATTTTCGTAAGGTTTTCTTAAGCAAGGAATACTCAGGGGTGGTTTGGCCACTTCCTTGTAGCTTATCTTTATTCTCACTGTCCTCACCACCTTTGCAGGCTTCTGTGCTATAGTTGTGAAAAAGTGAAATACCAAGTAGTGAAAGCCGCATCGAATCCCTTGGGAGATGCTAGCGGGGTACAAATAAAGTTATAATAATAATAATAATAAAATCCCAAATGTCAAGGTCTATTTCCCCCAAACTCCATCTGTGTTAATATTTAAGCATATGGAATATTTATGTCAAGTTTGGTCCAGATCCATCATTGTTTGAGTCCACAGTGCTCTCTGGATGTGGGTGAACTACAATTCCCAAACTCAAGTTCAATGTCCACCAAACCCTTCTAGTTTTTATTCTTCGTGTCCTCTGCGAAATCCACACCTATGGGTTTCCTCTCGCGCATGCGCAGAAATCCGGAACATTCTAAGTTTAATGAAATAAAAATGAATATTTTGAAGCTCCGCCCCCACCCCCCACCCCGCCCCCTCGGTATATATATCCCGCCGCGTGCGGGCGCACTCTAGTTCCTTTTTCCGCGCTAATCCGGCAGCATCTTGGAACATTCGCTCGCTCTTTCCACTCTACCGGCTTTTGACTAGGACTGCTTCTCTCTAACTCCGTCTTCTCCACCCCCGACTCGGACCGGCTGACTACCCTTCTAAAACTCAGGCTAGCATGTCTTCTCCGTATTTTAAAAATTGCTCAGCCTGCGGGGCTACCTTACCCGAGGCTGATAAACACTCCAAATGCTTATTATGTTTGGGAGAGGCTCACAATCTTCAATCATGTGAAATCTGCCTGAGCTTTACCACTAGAGCCCGAAAAGGCAGAGATGCCCGCTTAAAAGCGCTGCTTTACGAGCGCGCCTTGGCTCCACAGACGCTCCCTCCTCCCTCCCATTCCTCCCCAACCCAAGAGCTCACTCTGCCTCCCTCTCCACATGCTGGAGATAGGCGAGAATTGAGCCAGGCAAATGCTTCCTCAGCGGAGCCGCCTAAGAAAAAATCTAAGCCCTCAAAACAATCCATGAGGGCAACAAAACCGAAAGAAAAATCTTCAAAACAAAAGAAGGGACGGCAACTCACTGGCGAGCAGCCCTTGAGTCCCCCTATGCTGGAACCGATGCCTCACCTCTCCGGTCCCGTCCTCCAGCTCCAAGATCCCCTCCCTTCCATGCTCCACTTGGAAGATCCCTCTTCCCTTCCTCCTCTGGAGCTGCTGGATCCGCTGCAAGCTCAGCAAACTGCGGAGCTTTCTCCTCCGCCCCTCCCACCCTCCCAGTCTTCACCTCCCCCTTCCCCCAGCCCACCAGACTCGCCGGTACCGAGAGAGACTCCTCCCTCGGAACAACAAACTTCCATGGCGCGGGCTCCGCGCCGCCGCCAGCGCTCTCTCTCCCCTTCCCCTCAACCCTCTCCTAACCCCCCCCCCCCAAGAGGACTAGAACTTACCCTCCTGAACAACATCACCCATATGCCCCACAAGACTATCCTTATCATTTATACCCTCCCCCTCCTCCTTACCCCATGTACCCTTTCTACTATCCTCCCCCCCCCCACCCACACTAGGGACTACAGCACCCATTATCCACACCAGTTTGGATACCTACAACCTCCACATGCACCCCCTACAGCTACACTCTCTCACCCTCCAGAAGAACACATTGAATCAGATCCTCCTCAACCATTTCAAGACCCCCTCACTCAACCTCACCAAGAAGCCGAGACAGTGGACCTAGAATCCGCTGATGACACCCCACTCATACACGAACCCCTTCCAGACCCTGACCCTTCCCCCAGAAATCTGGAAGAATTCAAAAAGTTCTCTGCTTTGCTCATAAGGCTCTCCAGATCCCTGAATCTCTCTACACCTGAACCCACAGATACTGTGGTAGATCCATGTTTTACTTCTACTGAACAACAACAACCTGCTTCCACTGTGTTGCCCACCTTACCCTTTCTACTAAAGATCTTAAAAAACACTGGTGTTGCCCCGGCTATGATCCCGGCAACCCCCAAGAGGGCAGAAAATTTATTGATCTATCTTCAGCTTCGTGGCTATCTAAAATGCCTAAAGCAAATTCTATAGTAACTGATGCTCAACCAAAACCTGTCCAATCAAACCAGACTTCCCCCTCTGACAAAGAGGGAAGGAAACTTGACTCTATGGCCAAAAAGTTTTACTCCTCAGCATGCCTATTTGCACGCATGGCTCATTATGGGGTTTACATGAGTGTATACCAAACCTTCCTATGGAACAAAATATCTTCCTATTTAGAATTACTGCCTCCAGCTGACCAGCCACTGGCTCTGGCCTTTAAGCAAGAGGCTCTCCTTCTGTCATCATTGCAAAAGGACCTTGCAAGAAACACAGCCGATGCTTCTGGCAAACTCATTGCAGGCTCCGTGGCCCTTCGCCGCCATGCCTGGCTGAGGGCTGTTATCCTCTCTCAATCACAACGCACTCTCATTGAAAACCTTCCTATGGACGAGGCAGGACTGTTCAACCCTGAAACTGATTCACAACTTGAACATTCCCATAAAATGAAACAGACGGTCTTCAAATATGACCAACAACCTTACTCTCATCAACGTCAACGATGGGGCTCATACTACTACCGTCCTCACTACTACAACAGGCCTTATAATACCTCCTTCTACAGAGGACGCCAAAGATCTTACACCCAGTCTACGACCCCGA